ATCATTCCAAACACTAAAGTCCATTGGGTTTTTTTAGACTTTTTCCCTATATTTTTCAAATAATGTCATGAAAAAATTAATAGAACAATATGTTTAAAGTTGTCTTGAAAAAGTTGTTAATTGAGAAACCCATATAAAGTACGAACAATTGTGTCGTCCTATGAACTTAATAAATAATAGAACACACTTTATTAGACTTAATTTGTAGAAGTGGAGGCATGAAAGATAACATACTAGAAGAAAGTCTATAACCATGGTGTCTGAAAACTTGAAATTGTACTGAAATAGTGTACAAATCAACTTCTTCGTAATCCTTTAAATCGAGCTCCTTGAAGAGTTTGTCGAGTTGAGCATCGATCTCTTCCAGATACATATATGATAAACCAATACGGTGCACTGAGTAAATCAAGCTTAGTTTTGTTGTTGCATCAATGGTGRTGTCGGTTATCAAACTCCTCACGGCTTTTTTCGGCTCTTCAAGCRCTTTTGCATACGCTTCCAATGTCTGCAGCATGAAAAGCGGGTGTATTACGATTTACAGGAAACAAATAGGCGTCCCAGATGAATCAAAATCAGTGTTGCATGTTTAGAAATCATTGCTTTAAACTGGGCGATTCTATCAAATTAACAYTGTAATGAAATCGGGTGTATAGGTCGTCAAAGATGTTGAGATGTCCTAATAGGCTCTTTTATCGACTTTAGTTTATAGAACCAAACAATAAAGCATCAATTTTACATGTTTAATTTTTTTAAAAATAAAGTGTCATGTCAATTATTTTATTGGACATTTTCGTGAAGTTTCTATATTTACATCTTTTTATACAACACTTGTTTTGTAAAACAATTTTTCAAACAGTGTACTATAAAATAGATAATAAGATACTTTATTATTTTTTCAAAATGTCTTAAAAAGTCTCCTAAAACGCTCAAACTTGTMCTATAAACTTATTCTAACACTTAAAAAAAGCTCAAGGCCTATAAAAACGGTTATTAGAACACTTGAGTCATTTTTKACATTTTATAATTAAACTCGATTTTGTTTTAGATCATAAATAGATCTTACCGTGTTATCAAGTGAGAAGGAAATAAAACGATCAGCCCAGATAGACGGAGGGAAGTTGGCGAATGGGCGCACCAACTCTGGCTCGTTGGTGGTGAAGGGCCGGGGGCTAGTGAGGTCACGGGGGCACAGAACTTGTTCTTGACGGTTGGTACTGTTGCTTCTAAGGWGAGCCATATGACAGTTTATGGAATGAATTTGAAAGATGGTGTTGAATGGCAAGGTATATATATTATAGGGTGGTCTACATATTTATATACTACATCGTAAGAAGCCTTAATTAATTATCTATACTATATTATAAAGCATTTGACAAAAATTATTAAAAACCATTTTTTATGCATGAAGTACTGTTTATTGATGCATATTACTTAAAATTCAATATTATAAGTAAATTATGCGTAAGTACAACTTATTAAAGCTTCATGTTTSAATTCATGTAACTAACTATAGATAAACATAACCTAGAGGATAAATATCCCATTTTAAATATAAAAAATCTAAAATATAATTACGATAATCATTGAATTCTAACAAAATACTTAATTATTACATTTATAAAAAAATATATTATTAAACTGAAGATAAAAAATGAATTAAAGAAATACACAAAAAGAAGAAATTTTAAATAGTTAGTTTGGTACTAATATCAATAATTTTTTTAAATTCTTTATAATGTCTTCATATTTATATCTTATTTAAAAATAAAAACATTATCGTTTTCTTAAAACCATATAAAATTGTATTATTACATCGACTGAGACAAAAAAAACACAAAATATTAAAACGAAGATGTATCTCACTGTATTGTGTGAGTATTCTTCTAGTTTATTTAAATTTATTTTATATCACTTATTTTTTTCATTTTTAATTTCACACCGTTATCTATATTGATGCTATATATATATATATATATATATATATATATATATAAGTACATAAAGCGGTTACGTGTTGAAAAATAAGAAGTATATCATTTGTTGCTTTATGTAAAAGTCAATCAAACTATAATAACTATAAGTTTTTGTTGAAAGTTAAGAAGTAGATCCTGTTATGCTTAATCTACAACTTCCAAAGCTATTAACCTCACACGTCTTCACTTAATTTTCTKCTATTAACCTCCCATGTCTCCTGAGTAAATTCCCGGCAAAGTCTCTCCCTCAACCACCCTCCAAAATTGCAAAAATACACCCCTTGTATCTCTCTCTCTCTTCACTTTCACGTTCAAACTACTTACTACCCTACTTTATCCCACATCAATATGCCTCTTCAATCATATCATGTGTGTCCCACAATATGATCAATCTTTAATAAACATCATGAATCAATGGCAAGCTTCATATGAACATGTAAGAACACTTAGAGAGGAAAAGTCAAATAGTCAACACAAGTATATTCCTCTCAATGTATACGTAATATTACATTTAAGCTCTAACACTAATTCACTTATAAATTACAAGATAAGACCTATTTATAGGTCAAACTATAAAAGCACAAGTCAAAGTAAGGGTGTTTAAAAAAATGGTTGGACCGCTCAAACCGACTGAACCAAGTCAAACCGGATCGTTTTTGGCGATTTGAGCGGTCCAGTCTGGTTTGGAAAATAGCAAAACCGGGCGGTCCGGTCCGGCCTACGGTCTGGAACCTTTTTTGGTCGGTTTGGACCAAACCGACCGCCAAATACATACATATATATATATATACATATATATATATATATATAATCTATTTTAGTATTAGTAAGCCCAAATTTTTTAACTTATTGGCAATGACCCAAATATATCCCTAAGCCTAACATCTAACATAATCAAAATCGACGCCTAAAACCATTAACCATTGAACATATCGACACATTTGATATTGACGGTCTCCAAATTTTGAAAGCCTTCAGAACTCCATCAATCTATCGATCTTTCTAATCCATGGTTTGATTTCTGTGCACATCATCAAGACATCAACCAACTTAGATTTGGATTCTATTTTATTTGGTCAAGAACTCAAAACTCAAGAATTGAACCATTGAAGGTTGTGAAGTCGTGGATTATGTTACTTAATACTCACAGTGGAGTTGTAACTTTGTTAATTTGTTTGTTTTCTAATATGTTATATATTTATTTATTTGTACTTTGGATTGCTTCGACTTTGTACTCAAGAGCTGCATAATTATTACATTTAGTTGTTTAGGTATTTTGTTTTGTTAAAATGGATATTTAATCTAAAATTCTAAATTACATATGTTTTTTAAGTTTAATATTTAAAGTCTATTAAAGGCCCAAACCATCTTTTCGTGGTCTGGTTTGACCGGTCTAGGCACTTGATGTCAAACCGCTAAGTTTGAGAATTTTATAAACCGCCATTACAATTTGGTTTGTGGTCTGAGGGGTTAAACGGCCCAAACCGGACTGCGAACACCCCTAATTAGTATAAACATAAAGAAATAAGATTCATGCAATAATGGTCCAGGCATTGCTCCTGTTAGGAGAGAAGAGAAAGAATAGACCATCACTGGAAAGAATCAATAAAAGAAGAGACCATCTCTGAAAAAAATTGATGCAACATTCATGAAAAAATCGATGAAGCAAGAGAGGTGTATTAACTAGAATATCTCAATATTTTTTTAATGCAATCCCATTAATTCTAGATAATTACTATAAGAAATTTAAAAAAAATCAATAATTATGTTATATTTAGAATTTCCAATATTACTCTTTAACAATTTAAAAAATGAAAAAAAGGCAAATATTAAATGGAACGTTTGAATTAGGGTTGTATTGGTTGTAATTAACAATGCGATTGGTTGTATTTGAAATATATCCTATATATATATATATATACATATATATATATATATATATATAGAGAGAGATATTTGTTTAGGAATAAAGTTATAAAATTAAATAAAATGAGTAATAATAACGACGAAGGTGTGGATAATTTATGCATTGTTTATCTTATTGATGATAAAGTTTTTTTTTAAAGAGAATGATGCCTCAGCCGATTTTTATTAAAAAATAAATAAGTGTACATCTAAATAGCATGGTTACTAATTATATATAAAAAAATGTGGTAAATATAAACTTAGTCTATAAATAACATGAAAAGATATTAACCGATCATTAATACATATAAATTCCTATAGATAATTATTCATTGTTATAAGACGAATGATGTCTACAAATAACAAAACAAATATTTCATCTGTTCCAAAATAATTGTCCACGTTTCTATTTTAGTTTGTCTCAAAGTAAATGTTCACTTTCAAAAAGTAATGTATACTTTCCAACTCTACTCTTAATTATGAAATAAGAATTCATTAATCTTTCAACTATGAATAATAAACTTGTCATTTAATTAATTAAAAAGTCTAATTATTACACATTTATAAAATTGTGGATATGTATATTGGGACTTAAACATGTTTTAGTACAAATTTCAAAGTACAAATCAATAAATATATATTTTTAAATACTAATC